GGCACACCAGAAACTAACCATTTCCTGCCTTCTCCTGGCTTCTGAGTCCATCTTGTTCATATCGGTGAAAGTTTGCAACTTGAAAGTTCATAAGTAGAGGACTGTCTGTATGTAATAAAGCAGTATAATTTTAAAAAATCTCAGAATAGGTTTGAAATTCCAAATTAAACTTTTTATTATGAGACTTTCCATTTATGAAATACTGCATGGATATTATCATAAGCAGAAACCAAAATGGATTGAAATGGAGGCTCCAGAACTATACCCCTGGGATATTAAAAACTTCTCATTTCTACCAGACCCTGTTTAAAGCTGATCATAATCCTTTATGAAGTGCTAATTTGAAAATATGGACAAAATGGTTCCTTTCTCCTCTTATTTTTAGTCATCCTAAATTCCCTACATCTGTTTCTTTATTTTACAAGCGAGGGGCCAATAGGCAATATAGTCTGAAGGACTTCTATTACTCCAGCAATCCAATTAATTTGGAGTTAACAACTGATAAACTAACTCTTCTAAAATGTGCTTGGCTGCTTCATTTTACAGTTTAGATATTTCCATTTTAATTCAGTAATAAAGGCCCAAGCAAACAGATCCTTGATAAATTTGAACCATTGCTATTGAATTTTCCAGATTCATCTAAAGGCCTTATTTTTAAATTATGTAATATTATTATGGAACAATGCATTGGCCCTTAATTGGTTTGAAAATGGCTTGAGAAAAGGATTTCCAGCAAGAGATTAAGAATAAAATAAAGAATGGAAATGGACACCAGTGGCATCTTTGGCCCAAATTAAAGAAAATTGTTTTGTGGATTGTATAGGGCTCCTTATATATTAGCATGTATGAGCAAGGAGAGTGCCTCTTTATGTTGGAATTGTTGTGAGGAAAAGGGCACATCTTTGCATCTGTGGTAGCCTTGCCCCTTGTCTTTTCCTTTTGATCTGAATGAGGAATGTGTTTAGAAATATGGGAATCCCAAAACATCTCATTGACCTCATGAGAATATGGGTCAGGAAGCCACAGTATGGACAGAACATGGTGAAACAGACTGGCTCCAGGTTGGCAAAGGAGGGAGACAAGGCTGTATACCCTCCTCTTATTTAATTAATGAATATATATTAAAGAAAGCTAGATTGGAAGAAGATGAACATGGTTTTAAAATTGGAGGAAGCTGCACTACTCTGATGACATTATGCTAATAGCTGAAAATGCAAAATTGAATATAAAAAAGACCAAACTAATGACAACAGGTACAACAACCAGCCTTAATGTATTCATTATGTTAAGATTGTTAAGACTGACCATCAACAGTAAAGAAACAAGCAGGCAAGAAAGACACTGCAGACTAGCATTTGGCAGAACAGTCATGAAGGCCTTGGAAACAATCTTCAAATGCTGTGATGTTGTCTATACCTACAAAGATCAGAATAGTGCAAGCAATTGTATTCCCTGTGACACTCTAGGGAAGTGAAATCTGGACTTTGAAGAAGCAGAATAGGAAGAGTACTGACACTTTTGAACTTTGGTGTTGGAGAAGACTCCTGAGAATACTGTGAAGAGTCAAGAAAACAAATAAATTGAATAAATTGAACAAATTGACCCAGAGTTCTCACTAGAGGCACAAATGATCAGGCTCAAATTATCCTACTTGGGACACATTAAGTGAAGATCTAGCACTCTAGTGAAGGGTCTAATGCTGAGAAAGGTGGAAGGAAAGAGAAGAAGAGGATGACCAGCAGCAAGCTGGATGGATTCAGTTAGTGGTGATGAATGCCTCTTTGGAATGCCTGAAAGACCAGGTTAGGAACAGATTGGTCATTAAGAGCTGATGGCACATAATCAAACAATCAATCAATCAACCTCAGTTTGCATTGTTAAATATATTTCTAGGGTCCACTCCAGATATTCACTCTAAAATATTAATGGTATTTTTGTTGACTACTGCTAGAGTGTCCTTAGCTAAACACTGGGAAGATAAAATTGTGACACTGGACCTCTGGTTTCAGAAGGTCTAGCATTGTGATGGAAGGCATGAGTGGGAAGGTTCTGGAATGGAGCTTCAAGGTTGCCAGGAGAGGGGAGAGACATTCCAGGGGAAGCACCTTCTTCTCAGTCCCCAGCTGGAGTGTGGGAAAGCCAAGAGAATGAGCCTGGCCCCTCCCTAGGGGCCTCATGGTTATAGTTACTGTTG